GTAGGTGCATTATAGCACTCGTGGGTTGTCACCTTAGCCGCAACAGGTCGCTCTCTGCTTATAATCAAAGTGCGGACACCGTGGAGTAATCCATAAGCGTGGGCTGCAAACATCAAGGCCGGGAATTTACGTTGACGATTATTTATTGTTCTGAAAGTTTGCCTTAAAGTTTATCAATTATCATCTTTGTAGTAGATTTAAAAATATGGGGAAACTAAAAGTCGCCTACAAACCACCAAATCACTAAATAAGTGAAGAAGTACCTAAAGTACGCCTGTGGTATTTATAGAATTCACTCGCATAGGTCCGCCCCCTGCTTGTAACATTATAGTTTTTTGTGGAAGTTAAAAAAAGTGCATATAACTTTCGATATGGCTACATTAATAGAAAATCTCGCATCTTTTGTGTTTTAACTAATTTACGGAAATTATAAAGTTTAAAATGTGTGTTTCCAAAAATTGTATTGTGGGTACTTGTTTAGTATTCTGTACTGACATTTCACTATGTCTACTGTATACTTTTCTATTAATAAAGAAAAGAAACAACAATTTTTTTCTGAAACATTCTAGTTTTTGATCTGGAACAGTGTATCATAGTCATAAATGTGAACTGTGAATAAAAAACTCCATCGATATTTTCTGGTCACTTTTTTGTGTTTGTGGTGTTTTTGAGTTATGAAAAATTCAGAGCCGGTCAACTGATGCAAGTGTGTTCATGCAATATATATATATAACTGACACCGTGGAAGTTATAAATACATAGCAGTACATTTTTTTGTCCTTTAAAAGTTGACAATTTCGAAAAGCACAACAAAAGAAAATAATTGATATTAAAATTTATAAATTGAGACGAAATATAACCTACAACGTTGAGCAAAGAACAGCTACTTAAACTCATCTTGCAAATATTAATTCGGGTCGATGCGCCTGGAAAGGACGTAAAAGCAGAAGTAAAACAGTATATTCCTTTATTCAATAATTCTCCAGAAGGGTCTTCGAACAACACTGTAACGGAATATAACGCAGCAGGTTTGTAATTTAGTTCTCAGAGAAAGCATTTTCAGAAATACGTAAATAACAGTAAATTAATTACCTATTTTACACCATCATGAAACAAGGTTTGGAAAACTTAGAACAAGTTTTTCCAGACTATTTAAGGTACTTCCGTACGGAAATATTTCGATTCGAGCATGTTTAACGAATTTTAAGTATGCTTTTATCCATGCTTTTGTATCCAATAATTTCTGCAGTAAATATCTAGTACAAACTGAACGGAAATCCAGAACTCTGGAAAAAAAAACAAACCGCTAGAAACATCCGGCAAATATGAATTCTGGTGGATGCGCCGGGAATGTACATGAAAACAAATAAAACAACCCACGCTGCAGAATACACGAACACTTCTAATACCTTTCAACTTTGCTTTTCCATGTTTTCGTACGAAACGAAAATTTCGTATTGATATCGTGAAAATTAACGGTATGAGATATTAATTAATCTGCTGTCTGAACACAGTGTACCACTTGGGAACACATAGTTCTATTATTCAGTAACACTGATCCATAAAACACAGTTTTTTAATTACTGGAAATGAAAATCTACTTCCTGTGCTGTTTGTTAAATTGTTTTTAGATTATTTTCTAGCACGTGCATATATTTTCACATCTACATAATTTCACACTCAGTATCTTGGTACACGGTTAATAAAACATGAAATCATAAATTAATAATTCGGTATTTACACATGCTAATGATAAAATTGGTGTATTTTACTTTTCTTTGGTGTTCACGGCATAACATTTATGGAACTTTCACGTCATTGAATCATTCCACAAACTTTGTTTTTTTTTTAGTTTTTCAAGTTGTCTTTAAAACACACTGAGTAAGTATCTTGAACGCAAACACCAGGACTACAGTAGCCATATTTTAATTCAGTTAAATTGTATCTGCATTTGTATAAATAGTCTGGGGAAACTTTGTTTTAAGTTCTCGACGCTTCGCTTTGATGACGATGTAAATTAAATAATTAATTTAGGTTATTTATGTGCTTCTCAAATGCTATTTCTGGGACCTCGGTTACAATCTCATCAAATTTAATTTGATGTACCTATTTAGAACAGAGTGTATACAGGGTGAGTCAATAAGGCCGCGTTTCTAAATATCTCATTGATTATCAGAAATAGAAAATAAGTCAAAGACTAAAGTTGTACGGTTCTTTGCGGAGCATACACTGAAATTATTTTCAACTATACAGAGTGTTGCCACGGTTTTTCAATTTTCAGGGTTCGCAAAATAAATTGCAATAGAGTTCTTTTTGTAATCTGTGTTGCAATATTTTGTGGAAAGATATATGCAATCGCGTTTGCATACTGGACATTGTTTTTGGCGGTCTTCTGCTTCAGTATTATCTCGTGGTGGTTTAGTAACAAGTTTCCAGGAGAACCATGATTTAAACCTGACTTTAAATTCAGAATGTCATGCACTCTCAGCCACTATATACTTGCACACCTAACCATCAATTTTCATAAAGACGGCTAAGATCACATTCATGTTAGGATTGGTTTACTGAAGTTGTTTTTTTTTTTATAAAATTGTATTGCTTTTCTTTAAAGTGTATTAGCAATTGAAAGAATTTTACTCTCATATCACTTATAAACATATTTCTCACTTTAATTTGATTGTAATCCGTCAGTTTTTGACTCAAAAAAATTAAAAAAAAAATGGGGGAATGGGACACAGAAATGGAATGACATAAAATGTACCTAATTTAAATTTTATTATTTCTAATATTTTTAACTAACACGTTGGTTCATCTCGGCCTTTTTTTCGTTCGTTATATAACTATTATTCGTAATAGAGGTTTTCAACTTCATAACCAAAAAACTAGATTAGCATCGCATAATGGATAAATTTAGTTCCTTGTTTGATATTTTAATATTCAATAACTTAATAACTTTTATAAACTTTGCTGCTCTGGTTTAGATCACTAATTAACATTTGCATAGTGTATGGCAAAGTGCTAGAAAGCGGCACTTTAACTACACTAATGCTCATAACAGCTGAGAATTATTCACAAACAAGTTGATAAAAGACATAAAAATGCGGGCAAAAAGCATCAAAGCAATGCAAGGAAGAGCAAAAATAATGAAATTTTCTTTATAATGGGAAATCCATCTCTGCAATACGAGGGAAAACAGCTGAAAGGCATCCCGAGTGTTGCCAACCCGATAAAAATTTCTCCATCTTTTATATGTACATATATATATATATATATATATATATATATATATATGTGCGCAAAATGTTATGAAATTATTAGTTATCTTTGGAAATAAAATTCTTTATAACCCTTGATATTAATATTTTGTAGCATCCAAAAATGAAAAAACACAAAATACTGGATATCTCATTAAATAAAATTAACTTGTATACACTTCCGGTTAAACGAGAAAATCTCATTAGTAAATCCTTACATTCTACTGTACTAAATATATTATTCGCAATTTTTTAAAACGCTACCGATTCTTTATCCTTTCTTTAGGTAATAATCGTTCCTATCGTAAAAAAAAACCTTAAATGACGGTATAACTTTTACAGCAACACTCGAATGTTTCATGTGGAATTTCAAAAAATTTGCATAAGTGTGCCATAAAACTCAGATTTACTGATATATCTTAACTTCCTTAATTATGTTTTAACTATTCACAGAGATAACGAACGTCTGCTCTGTCGCAAACATCCACACGTTTAATATGAGTTTAGTTTTACTAGTTTAAAACTCTATACAGAACAGAAACTAGTTTTTTATTACGCATTGCATGTAATGAATTTGTTAATATACCATTAGTTTGTGGTAGATCATAACTGACATTTTAAATAACCATTCTATAGGGAATATTATTTATTCATTAGTAATTCATGTAGGTATGTATGCTTTCGATAAAACATTTCGTTCGACAAAAATTCACTCCCACGTAACTTTAAACGTAATGAAAAGGCGAAGCAGCCGAGAACGAACCCACAATTTAATGTAACAGAACGCACAATATATCTTAACCGCATTTTCACCCTTCTTGGTTTTAGCTTCTGCTGAGTAAGAGCTCGTTGTTTGCGAAAGACGGAAGGGAGGATGTTCGTTGCGGATTTTCGCAAATATATTTCTTAATTTTAGTTGATTACTGAGACGTGGTAACGTGATTAAAAACGGATAATTTGGGGTTTCCGGCTAATAATAATATAATAATTTAATTTTTAAGTACTACAAGGAACTTGCAAATCTGTTTTTATATAGTGTAATTTTACAAATAACCTGGAGCAACTGCCAGACTAAAATAGTGATCGTTTTATTATTGGAAACAAAATGCAGTTTATTTTCTACCTACATTAGCTTCACTCTATGTAAATTTCATGATAATTAGATCTGTTGCGGTGCTGGCCATTATGCATTTTAATGGAGTAATGTGTGTTACGGTTGTTTTATTCGTGGTATTTGTGCCTCTATAAATGATGAAATCATACGGTTCGTTTCTGATAGGATATTGAACCAGGCAAAATTGTTGTAGAATTTATTAATTTGGTTTTAATTGAAAACGAATTTCCTAGTTTTTAATTCGTTTTCAAATGTTCTTTCAGTTGCGTACATTTTCCGATATTGTTATATTTGTTAGAGTTCACGCCAATTCACGAAATCTCACGGTGCACATGTTGTTGAAACAATGAGATCACGTAGTCCTTTATGTTACGGAAAGCACTTTATTTTTACATAGATAAGTGTATCGCAATACTTTCCAAAAGATAAGTTTCTTTGTTCTGTAAAAGAAATGGGTACAAGTAACTGTAAAATTTTGTTAGTCTACAAAATAGTGTACTTCGTTATTTTTACAGAAGTTACTGATGGCCCGTAATTTAAATCAAGTGCATCTCCGCGAAAAGTAAACATTAATAACAGTATTAGCTTTAAGTTCTTTTCTGTACACTTTCTTATTATTTCTCACCAATTACCTTTGACTTGGACTCTTGCAGTCAGACTCGTTGGCGTTCGAACTGTCGTCCTCTTCACGACTGGTGTTCTGTGAACGGGGCGACTGTAAAGGTGTATTGGCGTCATCTGAGCTCCCATCGTCCGCCATCAGTCTGTTATTGCCGACATTACGAACTTGTCCACCGCCCGGCGGGTCAATCTGCAACAAAGAAAAGTATATTAAAATAAACTTTCAAGTGAAACGTCTTATTAATTATATTATCCTTTTGTATTCATTAATCAGTGGTTTTAAATTTCTGGACGCCTTAGCGCGTCTAGAAATATTGAAAAGTAAGAATACAGTGTTACAGTTAAATTTTTGCCATTGTTTTGTCGAGCATCCAATTACGTATTACAAAAGTGCTACCAATTATAGAGGCTAGACGTTCTTTTAGTTGAAATTAGGTCATCGCGAGTTCTTTAGAAAAATAGTCGAAACCTACATATCGGGGAAACTGGCCAAAGGAGATTTTCTGCACAGGAAAAGCTTTATATGGTCGTTTTGTTTTTGTTGATGTCTTCCTCAATTGTTTTTGCTTGTAATCCAATGAGCGTCGCAGCTTTGTAGCGAAGTTATTGTGATATACGTTTGTCTTTTATTCCTTATGGGACACTATTGTACCGTTGTGTACAAAACGCATCATTTAGACTTTTCATTTGCTCTGTGTGCTAGGCGATATATAATTGAATTTATTACTGCACTTTGAGATCAAAAGAGTGTAATGGATTTCCTTTTAATATAAAATCCATTGTGGCGGCGTACGATGGTACTGTGCTGCAAACGAGCGCGTTTTTTTCTTTAACGTAACAGGATTTTGAAAATGACGTCTTTCAGTAATAATATTCACTGCTTTAATTTTGGACGCATTGTCGTTTCATCTGTTAGCAGTTTTGTGTGCACGTTAAACGTGCTTAAAGCTTCTTTTTAGGTGCACTCATACATGTTATCATCCCCACAACACTGAAAATTTTGACGCATTATGGACGCATTTCAACATTTACGCTCTTGTCGTCTCTAACTAAACTTAGCTAACTTGGCTAAAAAATCACCCCAATAATAAATAAATAAAAGAAAATTGATGACTTTGTTCTTCTGTTTAGTTTCCTTATACAAAAATATTTACGTTTTTGGCTGTCTGTCCAACGTATATATCATTTCTCGTTGTTGATGCTAATTATATTTTACTTAATTTAAATACAGAAACCAAAATTGCTGCCATTTTAATATATTTGGCTGCTTTAAGATACGACGGTTATTTAGACGTGTTTACACCCAACTTATAAATAAATCATATTTCATTTTAAGTCTCCTTCCAAAATTTGTCTTAGTAAATCCTGTGATGTTGTTTTAGTCTTTTCAAGCATATTTACACAAACGATTTCCTTAAAATATCAGACACCGAGGAGAAAATGCATTGTTTATAAAGCTCAATCTCCACAATGATCAGCGCGGTTACTCGGGTACAAATGAACTGAAACTTTATCTTTTTTTCCGTATAAATAAAGCAAACATGGCATACACCCTATATTGCAAAACATCCTGTTTTCTCTTAGGTGATTTACAGACCTCGCTTCCGCTCGAGCATTACGCATCTCCCCCGGGAATACATGATGCACTTTTCGCCCTCCATACAGCAGAAATATCCTGAAATTTCATTCAGTAGGGGATTATTTCAAATGTTAACTACTTTTCGTTTCAATGCTGATAAATTACTTTTACTGTGATACCTCTGTAAAGTGTTTCCCATTACTCACGATCGAAAATGACATTATTTTATGAGTACTACCTGCTAAATGTTCTCCCACAAATTCGGGTGAACTGGTGTGAGCCATAAATATTTCTTAACATTGTACGACTGTCCGGCTCGTTATTGTCAATAAAATTTTATAGGGTAAAATGAAATTTCCAAAACTATACTTCCCGAGTGTAAGCGAAGGAAGTATTGTAATCGAGTCCATCGGACAAATGCCCACTGTTATGTTGTCAAGACGTTTTATGATGCCTACAGTACAAAAAAAGTAGTCTCCAGTTTCCGTCTATCTGTCTGTCTGTATCCATTTTTATTAGATACGTAATCTCCGAAACTACTGAACCGATTCTTGTCAAATTTTGTATGTACATACATATATTAGAAATATCATGTAGATGGTTACATGCTAACCAAGATTTGGCTAATTATTCCCAGCAACAATTTGATGACGTCATTCCAATGAATGGTATTCTGAAATGATTTGAATGTTACACAAAAAAATACTCATTTACTTGTAGTGTACGAATCTACACTCAGTTTTTTCGCTAAACGTTCAAATTTTCGCAAAAACATTTGCAAGTTACAATAACGTTTTATTCTCAACACGGCATAGTGGGTGGATCGCAGAGACCGACGACCTGCAGTACTGCGATTGTGGTTCGATGCCGAACTTAACCGTTTTCTTTTTTTTTCTTGCATTGGTAAAACGCTATGATTACTCTTCTTTTATGCTGTGACTAGAATTATCCATGTTGATGACGTCATCACAATTTTTACTTCCCGAGCGTAAGCAAAGGAAGTATTGTAATCGAGTCCGTCGGCCGACTCTCTACTTTTACGTTTTCTCGATATTTCATGACCCCTAGAAGACGAAGAAATAGGTCTCCCATTTCCGTCCGTCTGTCCGTCTGTCCGTCCGTCTGTCCGTCTGTCCGTCTGTCCGTCTGTTGTCCCGGATTTTTATTAGACAGATAATCTCCGAAAGTACTCGACCGATTGTTGTGAAATTTTGTACTTATATTAAGAATATCATGTAGATGGTAAAACGCTAACCAAAATTTGTCGAATCATCCCCACCACTAAAGCGATGACGTCACTTCAAAATTGTACATAGTAAATGGGTTTTCAATTGTATAAAATAACATAGTCCTACACATGTAGTTTACAACCCTGAATCGACTTTTCACCCGAAACGTCCAGATTTTTGGAAAAAAAATCAAAATTATAAAACAACATTTTGAAATTTAATTTTTAATCTGCTAACCAGAATGCTTTGAAATGTTGCAGATGTTTTAAGGCTATAAAGAGCATCATAAATCTTTAGTCAAAAAATATTTGCTTATCCCCTCCAAAAACTTGATGACGTCAGCTCAAAAGTTTGTGGAATAAATCATATCTAAAATGTACAAAATATGATGAGTCTGTACTTGTGATCTATAACTCCATTCATATTTTTTGGATTTGCATATACAGGGTGACTCAAAAAAATTAATGAATGCGTAAATATATTTTATTGATTTAATCAGGAACTACAAAAAATGCTCTGAAATCTTGCAGATGTTTTAAGGTCATAAAGAGCATAATAAATGTTTAGTCAAAATATATTTGCTTATCCCCTCCAAAAACTTGATGACGTCAGCTCGAAAGTTTGCCGAATAAATCATATCTAAAATGTACAAAATATGATGAGCCTGTACTTGTCATTTATCACTCCATTCATATTTTTTGGATTTGCATATACAGAGTGACTCAAAAAAATTAATGAATGCGCAAATATATTTTATTGATTTAATCAGGAACTACAAAACGGAATGCTCTGACATCTTGCAGATGTTTTAAGGTTATAAAGAGCATAATAAATGTTTAGTCAAAATATATTTGCTTATCCCCTCCAAAAACTTGATGACGTCAGCTCGAAAATTTGCCGAATAAATCATATCTAAAATGCACAAAATGTGATCAGTCTGTACTTGTGATCTATCACTCCATTCATATTTTTTGGATTTGCATATACAGGGTGATTCAAGAAAATAAATGAAAGCGTAAATTTATTTTACTGATTTACTCAGGAACTAGAAAACCGAATGCTTCGAAATCTTGAAGATATTTTAAAATTATCATAAGCATGGTAAATTTTTGATCAAAATGTATTTGGTCGTCCCCCCTAAAAAATTTATGACGTCACCCCAAAATTTTGCTGAAAAAATGCCATCTTCAATGTGTAAAGTATGATGAGTCCATACTTGTGATTTATCACTGCATTAAAATTTTTAATATTTGCTTATACAGGGTGTCTGAAAAAAATTAATGACGGAGTGAATTGATTTTGCAAAACTGAATACTTAGAAATCTTGACGTTTTGAAGTTATTGTAAGCGTGGTAACTGTTTAATCAGAATGCATCTCTTTATCAACCCCAAAAAAAATTCATTACGTCTTCTCACAATTTTGCTGAATAAAGTATATGATCTGACTATACTTTTAAAATTTTTAATATTTGCTTATACAGGGTGTCTGAAAAAAATTAATGACGGAGTGAATTGATTTTGCAAAACTGAATACTTAGAAATCTTGACGTTTTGAAGTTATTGTAAGCATGGTAACTGTTTAATCAAAATGTATCTCTTTATCAACCCCAAAAAAAATTCATTACGTCTTCTCACAATTTTACTGAATAAAGTATATGATCTGACTACACTTGTAACTAATCATTGCATTCAAATTTTTTATCTTGCTTATACAGGGTGACTCAAAAAAAGAAATGAATCAGTCACTTTATTTTAGTGAATAAATCAAGAATTGCTAAACTGAATATTTTGAAATCTTGCAGATGGTTAAAATTGATTGTGAGCATGGTAAATTGTTAATGAAAATATATCTGTTTATTCCCCCGAAAAAATTCATGACGTCATCTACAATTTTTGCCAAAAAAGTTTAACTCAAAATGTGCAAAATATGATGAGTTTTAACATAAGCAACTGTGGCCTGTGGTTTAGTGGAGGTGGAGTGTGCAGTGCAATTAGAAGTTCCGGTAACAGATCCCGGCACTTCCAACTTTTTTCGCCTATCAAATCAAGAACAGCAATTCCGATTTTCGCAACAATAATGTTATAATATTTATTTATTTGTTATTGTGTGTTCGTGAATAAGCACCATAAATAGCAAATGTTGAAATTTTTTTTTGTGATCGGAAGAATATCTCTTAATCATTTTATATATTGTCAATACATGATTAACTTCGACTGTTAATGTTTATACATCGAGAGAAGCAGAGAAAAAGTACATATGCATTTGCTTCAGTTACGCCACTGACCGTGTCATTTCTTTATCGCACGTTGAGACATAGTTTATATCATGGCCGACTAGTATAAAGATTATGGCCTGTCCAAGAGGTACGATACGTGCTGCCA